TGGGCACACGGTGGGACCGACCCGAGAGCTTCCATGGGAAGACAGGGAAAGGAAAATACTCCGTGCTGTCAGAAAACAGGGAAAGCCTCCTTAGCGTGTTCAATGCTAGCTGGGCTTTTGAGGTCTTTTGAGGTCTTTCCAAGGGCTCACCAGCGTGCCTCTGTCTCGCTCCTGCATGCGGACCGCTCCAGAACAGAGCGGCCTCTGTGTGCCGGGGCCAGGTTTCCCAAGGGGAGGTGGCTTCTCTCTTTGTTTTTGTCCTCACCCCACCTCAGTGCTCCTTCCCGTGACGCACAGAGCCCACAGGGCTCTCGCACCCAGCTCATAGCTGCACCTGGGCTGGCGGCGGGGAAGCAGCCTGTGCGTATGTAAAACACGGGCTCGCTTTCACACACCGCTGACTTCCCTCGGCAAAGGAGGCCGGGGCAGGGGGGACGGGTACGGTGCCTTTCCTAGCTCCCCGCAAAACGCCCCACCGCACCGTGAGCGAGGGATGTCAGCATCGTGGCACGTGTCGGCTGCCGCAGAAGCAGCCCGGGGCAAGGGAAAAGGCCCGTGGCAAGGGAAACGTGGCCCAGCGTGGGCCGGGAGCCCGCACTACTCAGCTGCCAAGGAGTCGGAGCAAGTCACATCACTCCCGAGTCCCCTGCGCCCAACCTCTCTCATGCACCGGTTCTTCACAGCCAAGACGGCCCCTCCTGCACAGAGCCGACCCGAGGGGATGCCATCCTGCCTGGCATCGCCGCGCTGTATTAATATTTAACAGTGAGGAAGAGTTCCAGAGACTTTGATTTCTCCCGCTGGCCAATTCAAGGATAATTGAACTGTGCGGGGAATTGCAGCATTTCAGAGCGTGGTTTTGTTCCAGGTCACGACAAAACCCAAGCACGCTGCAATGCCTTCTGAGAAGGATCGCAGCCCAGTTTCAGGCAGCCTCTCTGCCGGCAGCAGAGTCAGGCAGGGAAGCAGCACAAGATGCGGCCGATCTCCGGAGGTGCCCGGCAGGCAGGTCCCACCAAACCCTCCTCCCTCAGAACTTCGGCAAAAATCAAACTTGGCTAATTAGGAAAAAATGGTTTCTTCTGAATGTTTCCCACCACCTCCAGATTTGTGACCCCAAAGCGATGTCAATTCGCCCTCATCACACCCCTCCAGTGGAGGCAGCTCCTGCTGTAGAGGCAGAGCAAGCGAGGCACGGTGAATTTTAACACAAGTGCCCAGGGTCATGCAAGAAATCAGCCAGAGAGGTGAAACGAGCCCAGCGTTTCTGGCTCCCAGCTCTGGGCTGTGCCAGCTATTGCTTTCTCTTGCATATAAATTACTTTTCCCCACCAGTGAAGGACAGCTGGCCACTGAATGGAAAGTGGCAGTTGTTCAGCAGCCCACAGCAACACTGCACACCAGCTTGGGGTGGGAAGCGGAGGACACTCAACACGCAGAGCAGGTTGCCAGAGGATCTGGGCCAGCCGAATGGAGGCAGAGCAGATGGAATGTGGCCAGAGCAAAGCCCAGCGCTCCTGCAAAATCAAGACAAGTTAAAAACCCCAGAGGAAAAACGGTCTCCCTTGCTTTTGCCAGCAGAGCAGGTATCTCTGCCACAGCTCTGCGGGTCAGCTCCAGGCTGCAGAGCAGGAGTTCCTTCTTGTCCACTGCTGCTGCTGCGGACAGTGGTGACGAGCAGAGCTACCAAACGGCTCTTATGGCATAACCACAACTGCTGAGCACCACCACTGACCCAACCCAGCCAGCTACTTCCAACTACAGGTCTTGGCAAAGCAGAGACATCCAGTTTTAAACAGTCCCCCAAAGCAAATATTAGAGGTGGCCTTGAATCTAAACCTCTACCACCAGTTTCAAGGTTTGGAGGGACAGATAAATGCCCAGGGCTGGTTTTACCTCTGATCTTTGTTCCAGGACAGAGATCTTTTACTACAAGCACCATATCAGTACACAGACCTTCTCTCCTGTTAGTATGGGCTGAGCATATCATGTCTTGTCACGCTTAAAAGTTGGTCTGATTTAACTGCTGGTGTGGCAAAGCCAGCAAAAAAAACCCAAACCAACAACATACCAAACAACCCTTCCCTCGGAAAACCTGGGCTAGCAGAGAGCTACAATCCCAACAGGCAATGCCAACCAAGCTGCTTTGTGCTGAAATCTCTCAGAGAGCCCCTTCGTGAGCAGCTCGGCTAGCAAGTGGAAGATACAAAACCCCCCAAAAAGCACTACATCACCAAAGCTTACGGCAGTCCAACTGGTGCAAGGTCTTCCATACTAATTAAATTGCTTTTATGCTAATTTTGCCGACATAGCTGACAAACAAAAACACGTCCGCAAACTGAAACGGTCAAACCAGCAACACTCACGGTACTTTCGCTAGAGAGAGGGGGATTTCTCTTTGTACAGCTCCACAGGGATAGGGAACTGAGGCAACAGAGAGAGGAAAAGAAAGCAAGCAACTCCAAAATATTTCTGTTAGTTTAGATTTCAGCCAGCTTGGCAAGCTCTTTTGCGATGTTTAAACACAACAGAACCTGAGTCACTAGCCTTAACTCAGCTTCAGGCCTTCCACGCCTCTGATCCTCATCCAAGTACTACTTTCACAAGACCCTTCTCAAACATTAGCCCTGGCTACTCCATCCAGATGCAAGAGATCCTCAGCTGCCTTGTCTCCTCTGGTACGGGCAGCGTTATGGCCTGTCTAAACTATTAGCTGACAGTTCCTAGAGGTATTTACGTGGTTGAAGCTGTAGCTTTAGATGTGTCCCAACTACTTTTGGTTGTAAAACATGATGGACCTGAGACACAGTGTCATATTCTTAGATACGCTCCACTTCCCCTGCCAGTTCTAGTAAAGACTTTTTCCTAAGAGTATGAAAAATATTTTCCCCGAGGTGAAGCGAGATGCTGCTCTTAAGGAACTAGATTTTATTTTGTACCAGCTGGGATTCGGCCACCTGTAGGAAATACAAACAGCATCTTTCTTCTTTGAAAGTATTAGAAGGAAAGAAATACCGCATCCGAAACACAGCAGTGGAAAAAAAACCCTCTATGTTTGAAGGTGGAGGAATGGACAGCAGCACGTGCGGGTTGCTACAAAGCATTCTGGGTGAACCAAAGAAAGTTTCGTTTCCACCAGTTAAGAAAGCACAGCGAAATTTCTCTCGAGGCCGAAGGGATTTTACCCGAGTCCAGCAGTTATGAGAGGCAACTGGAGAGCAACCCAGGCGAGGGAAGAGTCTCCCTACCTTACAGCAGTCGCGGAGGACACGAAAGAGTGGCTCGTTTCATGCCGCAGCCCTTCCTTCCCTACCCCAGACTGCACCTGCACAGCAAGAGCAAATCGAAACCAGTCTATTCTAAACCGTGGTCTCATTTATTTTGAGGGACCCAAAGCGAGAGCAAAGCTGAGACAGCACAACCAACAGAGAAACTTGTTTCTCAGCTTGACTGCCCCTCTCTGGTGGCAAAGTCCTGGCCGGTACCTTCAGGATCACAAAGCTAGCTGAAAGTAGGGCATGCCCATTCAGCTTCCAATCCTTCTCACACAGCCACGAGAGTTTGCACGTCTTTCTCTTTTGGGTTTTAGCCAGAGTCCAGCCCTTTTGGGCACCATAACACAGCTGAATGGTTTAGCTCCTTTTGTTCTAGCTGACAAACAACTTAGCCCTCCCCCACCAGCGACAATACAACTGGAGCTAGGACTTGTGTGTCCTCTGAGCAAGGATACAGGCTTTGTGCCTTGCTGAGCTATCTTTGCAAGGACTGCAAACACCCACAGCTGATTAAGCCTGCAGTGCTGCTTTCTGCTTTTTCCTGCTCCCAGACAGATGTCAGAAAACAAGCTAAGCAAAACAGCACACGCAGCTAGAGTTCTGCACCTAGGAACATGAAAGCAGACTATTAGGGATTAAATTAAACCAGAGGGGAGCTTAATGCATTCTCCCTAGGCTTCATTTCTACCTGGCATGCAATTCTGGGTAGGAAACATCCCAGCGCTTCAAGAAACACCGTGTTCTGGAAGGTGGCGCAACTGGGTAGACAGGAAGGACTGAATTTGGAAAGCTTTTGCCACCACCACGTGGCTAAAACCACGAGTGCAGCCCACCAGCTAACAACTGCAAGTTCACACCACCAGCAAGGACCAGCCTCGCTGCCAGGGCAAAGTGGGACAAACGTTCACAGGTTTTAGAGCCCGTGGCACGTACCTCAACACAGAGCATACACTAATTATTAAATATTAAACATTTTATTAACTTAGAACTCCAAAACACACTACTGATTTGCAGTAAGAATAAGGCATGAATTACTGCTGGTAAGAACCTGTGAGTTAAGGGATTGTACACAGCGTACGCCTTATTTGCCAGAGACAACATGTGTTTTCTGTACATTGCTTGTAGTCCAGGCTGCTGCGTTTCATCTCTGGTCAGCCCCAGAGGCTAGGGTTATCCTGGGCTTCACACATGCAGCCTTTTTCTTTAAAGATCTAAAAGAAAGCTAAAGTGCTAGATTACCTTCTTTAGTCCCTTCCTCCCCAATTAGGTATCGGGCATGGAAACACTGAGCCCTTCCCTGGGTAGATACTCACACAGCTGGGTCATTAACTGCCAAGTGCAGTCAATCGAGAAGCTGCAGGACAGCCTTCCTTCCCCATCATTCTCGTGGTGGGGAGACAAAACCTGGCAGCGAGGTTTCACATTAGCCCAGGGGGCTGTATTTCAACTGAAAGGAAGGAGGAGCCCACTGCCTCTTCTCTAGGACTTTGGGGACACCCAAACAAAGATATTCAACTGTGACATGCGGCATTTGGGACAGCGGCCTGTTCTTCCGATATGCTCTCAGTAAAACACGTAGCTCCTGGCCACTGGCAAACTGGGCGAAACTCAAAACTTGATCACGAAATGGGATTCAGATGTAATAATGGCTAGGAATCTCCAATGCAAACTGCCCTCCCCTCAGCACCCCTACATTATCCACGGAACAGGAATCAAGCTCTTCTGGAGAGACTAGCAACTAGGAACAGTTCTGGATGAGTGGTCATGACAAGTCAGGCAAAAAAGCTTCCCAATGTGATTCCAACTGCAGCAGCTTGAATGCCTGAAGTGAAAAAACCTGATGAATGTGGCTGAATTCTCACGAGAAGCTAGTCATCAGCAGAGTTCCTCATCAGTAAGCCAAAGGACAAGGCAGAAACTCCTGGTACGTGACCAGCACAGATCCGTAACATCCGGAGAAGTCGCTGAGCAGTGGCAACTCGTGTCCCTTCCAACTGGAAACAAAACCAGAAATTATTCAATCAGGAGAAGAGAAAAGCAGTGCTAAGCTGTGATAAAAGAACTGGAGCAGGCATTAAGTACAGTTCGGAGTGGCCAGCTACAGAAAACCCCAAACAGGCCCCTTTCTTCCCCTAATGTTAAGGAAGGTACAGTGTTGTCAGCTGAAAACCCCGAAGGGCTTGCCAAAGGCACAGATATTACCTGCTGGTAGGGGGGGCAGTCTCTGAGGGTGGAATGACGAGTACGCAGAAAAGTGAAGTGTGCTACCGCTGAATGCCACACTCTCCCTCCAGCTTTTCAAACCAAGCAGGTAATTGGCAAGAGAGGTGTATCAGCAGGCAAAACAGTCTGTGAAGCCACAAAGCCCAGCTAACAGGAAGCATTATGTGGGCAAGAGAGAGTCACGTGGCAAATAACAGCTGAGGGGCTCCCAGGAAGAGAAAATGCCTCCAGGAAAAAGCGTACCAAGGCTTTGCGTATCAGAGAAGTCTTTGTTAATTTAGACTTGGCTTCCTGAGGGTTTGAAGTAGCACAGGAAGGAGCAGGTAATCTAGAAGACTCATTTCAAGGACAGACTCCTGTACCTCTACTGTTCTTGTAGGAAGAATCTGGTCTCTGACACTTAATGCAAGACAGTAGCATACGTACGTATATTTATTGCTAACTTAATGATGCTCCTAAGGATCAGAGAGCAGTGGAATTCACAAATCCCTTCAGACACCAAAAAAGCACCTTACCTCCAGCTCACAGAACAGCACAGGACTGCAGTAGACTTCCCCCAGTTTCCAGATGGCGTTCATCTCCACGCTGCAGTCCTTCACCCGGCCAACTACAGAAAAAGTTTTCCCACATTACAAGCCCCATAATCAACATTCAGTGAAGAAATTACCGGGAAATTCCACATCCACGAAATGATCCAGAGCTAATTTTGAGAGCACGGTAGAAGGTAAGGCAACAGCGAGCAGTATAAACAGAATGGTACAAGATTCACAACCGAATTAGCACAGAAGTCTTTCATACCTGAATAGTATTGCTGCAGTATCGAGAACTGTAACATTAACATTTCGGATGAGGGATCAGTACACTATCAGCATGGGCAGAATCTTCCACTCGCTAATCAGAAGCCCTCCTGCCTCATGTGGTATCACAGGGTGGTCATGTCTCCAAGGAATTCACTCCGTCAGGAGAGCCATAGCACAAGACAAATGCTAAGACTCCTTCTCACCCCAGAATTAGGCCTCCTGACCCCCCAGTCCCAGGGACACAGCACCTCTGCTCCAACACTGAGCAGTACGGTCTGGCCCCTCCAGTTCCTCAGAACTTAACTAGGGAGGGTACGCAGGGAAGCACCCTCTCTGCTCACGGTGGGGCGGAGAGAGAGAATGAGAGAGAGATTCGAGGCACAATAGGGCCAGACAGTACACAGCAGGGATACCAGTCTTGTATTAAAACTATACTTAATAGTTTAGTAGCTCATCCATTTAGATTCATTTTATTACCACAGTATCATATGCTCCTCACTGCTCATTAAGATTATCATTAAGACAGATCTGCAAGAGTAGACAAAACAGACTTCTGGAGTGACACAGGAAAAAAACTAAAAATCAATAACACAAATCATCTTCAGGGATTAGGGACAGAAGAGAGGTCTGACGGGCAAAAACAAAAAGGAGAGCGCAAGCGAGCATGAGAGAAGAGAACAGTGTTTTATCTAAGAAAACAATTACCAAAAAAAGGTAGTGGAGTTCAGATATAATCTAAACAAAGCTTTCAACAAAGTCACTTGTTTCCTTTGTTTTGTTTCAAGTTAAGTCACTGCCCTGTTTTAAGGAAAGCAACAGTGAGTTGCGCTGCTCAGAGAGGAAGAAGAGGGCAGATGCTATACGTACCCCCAGTGACAAGAAAGCACACTTTCCCCAGGAAGAAGCTGGCATCCACATAAGCTAGGGAAGCTTCAATGTTCTTCAAGCTGTCAGAAAAAACACAGACAATCCAGTTGGACAGGGAGGTAAAACCAGTGCAGCATAAGGACAAAGGGAATAACTTTCAGAAGCACGATTAGAAAACCAATGATGTTAACATCTGCTGATCTGTGAGCCGGCAGAGTTATGCTCAATGCTAAAAGCATGGCACCCGAGACCTCTTTAATACTCACAGCTGTTTAATAATCCATAATATATCCTTTCTACCCAAGACTCAACAGTCAGACTTAGTTTGGACCGTGTCCTCCATGATTTGCAGGCACTAAGCATCCAAATTCATTAACATCCAACAAAACTTCAGCACTACTTCAGCTCTTTCAGGAGAGCCAGCCCACACATTTCTGCAGCACCATCTGGGCTGTAAGTATGCGGCTGGGCCTGTCATTTTTGGTAAATGAGAGCCCAGGATCATCAGTTACAAGCTAAGGAAGTAATAAAATGCTGACTTTTGTGCCTTAGCAAGTCTTTTACTTATGGCCTGGGGACACAAATATCATTTCTACAAAGATGAGCACAAGATGGGAGAAAAGAGATCAGTCCCTGCAAAACCTTTCTCTTCTGCCTGGAGACATCCACAGTGCTGCTCCCATTTGACAAGCAGCATCAGTGAACTGGGGACGCAGACCCAGCAACTGGCTGGTTATTAGGTAGCACTGCCCACCGCACATCAGTTGTCTGTATAGTATAGAACTTAACAGCACCACCATCATTTCCATCTAATTTTACAAAAACATCTTTTCAAAGCTCAGTTCATATCATCCCACATCCGGATGCAGGAATAAATTCTGCCTTTTCTGCTACGGCAGCTTAGTGCACAACAGGCATGTTA